GTGTCAGCACTACCATATTTCAATTATAGCTACGCTTTCATAACCAGTAACCTTCATCCAATCAACGACTTACAAACCACCAACCCCAACCCATTAAATCCCACTCAGCCTTATGTAGCCTCCCAGTACCAGAGGAACTACATTGGGCCTCTATCGACCTCATATGCATATTCCCTACACAAGGCTCTCAATTGGCCTTTGCAACTCGCTTCATGTGACCTCATTTGACAACTACGTCCTATTTTCAACCACTCATTTGTGCACTAAGTTCACATACTGTCAGGATTACTAGTTGATCCAGCACATAGAACTGTATCACACCTAGGGCTAATAGGTAACGTCTTACCGGGCCTTAGAATGGCCGGAATTAACGTACCTAAGAATAGTCAGAAAACTAGCCGAGGTTGGGGATACAGAAATACAATGATTAGGGAAGTTAGAAGTCAGGTATACCAAAATACTGGGAAGTCAATACAAACCAAAGTCAATAACCAGAAGTAAACACTCAGAAACACACTCTCGGACAACTACTAGGGAAACCACGACAGGGCAATGATGAAAAGGCATAAGGAGTTTAAATGCCGCAAGGAGAGGCAGAACATGTTACACATACCATCCGGGAAGAAACGTATGTGTAAGTTCAGATATTCCACAGCTTACTACCTTTAATCAACCACGCCTTATCATATTACACATCTGCTATTTCTTGCATTGTCCACATACGGCCACCCAGTTACTCTACTCACAGCCCTACCTATACGGCCTACACCTGGCCAAACACTCAGAGTGTACTGATTCCCTCATCATGAACGTTATCCTTACCTCTCTTATTGTGCTACTTCAGTCTAGCATAATGTCAATTGCGATGTGTGCAACCATGCCACATACATTATGATACGTACTGAATTTATCATGTGGGTCATTTTATTTCCGTGGTTTTGGCCTTATAGTCAGCCGCCATTGTGCTTTACATAGCCAGTTCTGTACTGACTATTCCCACATCACTGCTTCGTATTAGACCAGTTCATATACATGGTATTTTATACTGTCCTTCCTGGTTCTCTGGCTATTTTATGGCTCCAGGAATCATGGTACGAATTACTACATTAGCCATGCACGATCAATACCTCTTATACGGCCCCTTACCCAGCATCTAGGTTATTTTACGGCTCTGTCAACTATGGTACGTTAGCCATGCACAATCAATACCTCTAATACATTAGCCATGCACAATCAATACCTCTTATACGGCCCCTTACCTTACTCCCAACCTCTCAATGTAACATCACCAGTTACATTCCAACTCTAGTTCCTATGTCTCATGTCATTACACCGGCACATTTTCTTTCCTCATCCTTAAAAAGGCAGAGACTTCAGTTGGGTTCTTGTTATTTCCTACTAAAACCCCATAGTGAACTAGTTGTTGTACACTAGTCAGTAGTTTCTGAAACTAAGGACCCCGATCATACTTCCGTTTATACCCATATTCATTCTGGGCTTTCTTCTATATAATCATGCTATCACATACATCCCCACACCATAGGGAACCACGGTATTTCTTTCACAAACTTGTCTTACTACTTACTGGTAGTTACAGTTTTGTCTGACGGAATATGCAACATCAGCTCCCTGTTTTCATGACATGCCATACCATGTGCTATATCCTCCTTTCCCTGGCTACAGTACAGAGGTTACCTTGCAAGTACATGGCTCTACTTTCATATCTGGGCATTACATTCTCCCAAGTCTACTCCGCAACCTAATTGCTGGTATACAACTGTATTCACTTTGACTTCCACTCCTCGTTCTTTTCGTCAGTTAATGCACGAATGGAGCGCTGTTCGTTAGATACAATGTACCAAACTAGTTATATACAATGCTACTGTGCACGAACAGCCCCATTTGACTATTTTAATGGATTTTGACTATACGAAAGATACTGACCGCACAGCCTAATCCTCTGAAACTATTTTGGGCATGAAAACATGCGTGCGGTCGGTCAAAAGAGACTTCCACCTAACTTCAGAACCCCTGAACCACTCTGGGTGATTTTTCAATATATTGTTCCCCCAGATCAGGGCTATCAGGAGGTATATATTTTATGTGTTTCCCATATGTTTTTGGGGTGTTTGCAAAATTGTGTAAAAACTTGCATTTTTCATTTGGAGATAATTGAGTTGATACAGTAATTAACTCAATTATCTCCCAAACAGAGGGGAGGGCTTGTGTACAGTAACTGGGAGTGTTCAAGTTTAAAACTTTATTGGATTGTGAATTTCATGTCCTGTTCCCCACAAGGTCCACCTGGGCGGTAACCTTGTGGGTAAAAACTGTATAAGAGAGCAGCTGTATCATTAAACCTTCAGTTCTTACTTTACCCTCAATCTAGAGCCTTGTCTCTTATTGGGAGAAACTGCTATACAGCTATCACACTAGCTCTTGTAAGAGCTTCATTACTTGGATGACTACTGGAATGCTGTGAATACCCCTCACACTCGGGAGAAGGACACCCTCTAGCGGTGGGAACCCTTCTACTCATCTGCTACATTTGATACTATGGCAACCTAAGCTGCAACTCCCCAGTGTGCTGGCCGCAAAGCAGTTGGACTTAGCAGTCTGTTAGACCAACTTCATGTGGTTGGTCTCCCTGGCTTCCTAACAGGCGATTAGAGTGTGATCGAGTGGTAAGCTCCCCAATCTTACTATGCCTTCCGTGCCACTTTACATAAATCGATTGTAGGAAATATGATCATTACATGGTTTTATATTTTTAATCACTTCAGAGCCGGTGGGCAGGCCTGATAGTCCGAGAAATGTCCCCATCCACCTATTATTATTATTTATAAACCGCCAACAAGTTCCGTAGCACTATACAATGGGTGGACTAACCGACAAGTATTTGTAACCAGACGAGTTGGACACACAGGAACAGATGGATTGAGGGCCCTGCTCAATGAGCTTCCATGCTAGAGGGAGTAGGGTAATGGGACACAAAAGGTAAGGGTAGAAAAGTAAATTGCTAGGATAGTACGATCCCAACCACGTGATCGCGACCTAATTCAATGAAGCATGATGGGAATAGTAGTTTTAGCCAACATTTTATTCATTTTTTTCATTATTTTCTTTTCTTTTTTTTTACTATTATAATAAAGGTAATTACCACAATTATACCAAAATTATACAACAGTAATTTGATATTTATAATCACTAAATATATTTTGTATGTTTTAACTTTATTGTATTAAGTTGTTATAAATGAATCACATGTTTTGCTAGTCATGTGACCCAGATTATGTCATAATTCCCCCTTTTTAAAATTGTTAGTAGTTCTAATGCCCTTTAAATAGGGCTATATGCAGGAACTCCACCATCATAACTTGAAAAAGCCATTTGGGTGAAACACGTTGTGATTTAAGACTGGCATTTTTTGGAGGTACAACACAATTTTATTGGCCACACACGTCTTTTATGCATATCCCCATGCAAGGGGTCTCCCACACAACCGTACAGAGTCACAGCCTAAGATCCTCCCCCTCTCTAGGGCCCTAGCGTGGGAAGGGGACTTTGATCCCTTTGTCCCCAAAGCCTACCACCAAAACACAGGGTGTCCCACCCCAGATGCCAGGGGGTCTTCTTCCCAAAAGTCTCAGTGCCTGGGAGTCCAGGCGCGGGAAAAAGGGGCCATCCCTTTGTTTCCCAGGCACAGAAAGGCCGCCCGCAGGAAAAGTGCAAGTCTCTTTGTCTCTGAGGCACAGGAAAGCCCGCCAAACTAACCAGTGCCCCAAAAATGTCCACAGACTGCTCCATTTTTGACTAGCCTCCGTTAGTGAGACCCCGGTGTGGAACCCAGACAAGAGAAGCATCTCCTTTTGGGGTATGAATGCTCCCCCTGGTTGGCGTTCCTCTAACGAATGGGCACAATACACAAAAAGATAGGGAAACACACATAATATTAAAAGGAGTTCCATGAAGAAGCAACGGTTCTGCCAAAGCCCTGATAAACATTTGTAATTTGCAAAGAGAGATTGGACAGTTATCTCCAGTTTCATCTACAGCAACACCGGAGATCTAGAGGTACAATTCACAGACAACGTCCAGGTTGATCCAGGTGGAACAGAAGGGAGTGTTGTCCTACCCCAAGGGGATATCCTAGGGTGAAACAAGATGTTTAGGCCACCCCCCCTTCACCTCCCAGATCAAAAGAAAAGTCACCTAAATAGTACTTCCAATTAGGGGTAACCCTGGAGCTAAGCATCTCATTAACAGTTCAGAGATAGTTTGTACTATTTTTTTTTTTTTTTTTTTTTTTTTTTTTTTTTGGAAGCGCAATGTTAAGTACATGCTCAAAATATGACGTAGGCATTTAACATAAAGTATAAGCACAAGTACATGCTAAAAAGGTCAAGATGATGTGCGCTTTTTTTTTTTTTTTTTTGTGTGATGTACAAGTAAGATTATACATGCAGAGAAAACAAAACAAATGTCGCTGAGTAGTCGATTTAAACAAGAAGAAAACATTTCTAACTATATGTTGCGCTTCACAGGCTGAGGGTATATGTCTAGCTTACGCCGTACAATAGTATAAATGCTGAGACGCTATGAATACATTTTTGCTTATTGTGTGTGAACGCCCCAGGACACCCACCGCAGGTGGTTAACTACCAGTACCCCAATTGATGTTTAATGCGTTTCCCATGTAACAAGGCTGAAGGAAATGTGACCACATAGAGTCCATGTTTATGGAGGCAGAAGGCTGGAGAGTTCCCATATGACTGTTAGGACCCTCTTGTTGCGATTTAGCCGTCAATCCCCGCGGCACTGCGATGAACGTGCTGATCCAGGAGAGGGAGCGTTGCTGTGCACCGGTTGCCTGCCGCCTGGGCCAGCCTGAAGGTATATCTGTTGGGTCCGGTTAGTATGAGCTGGATCAAAGCGGTTTGCGGCTGCTCACCTCCTCCCCAGCATCCATTTCGCGTGTTGCGCCACTCTTTTTGGGAACATTAGTCGGGCTGGTGGCGATGCGGTGAGTATTTGTGTTCCCGTCGGCCTGGTTGCCCTCTGCATGTATTTAGGGCCCACCTGGGATTTGCGGTAGTTGCGTAGCAGCTAGCAGTTTCCTCGGTGCAAGCTGGTGAGTGTGTTGCCGCCATTTTAGACGTGGCTTGCGGCCTGGGCTGTGGGTTGGTAGTTCTGTGGGGTCCCATGATCTTCTCCCCGGTAGTGGCCACAGGGCGTGGGCCGGGATCACCCCCGCCGGCCCAAAGGGGGGGGAACGGGGCCCGGTACATACGGTATTATAGTGAGTCCAGCTTTATACCACTGTGCAGGATAGCGGGGCAGCGGCCGTCCACCCCGCTCACCGCCCGAGTAGGCCTCATCCAGTGAGAACAGTGTGTATCTCCCCGAGGGACTAAAACAGTTGCTGCTAGCCTCTCCTCAGGACCGGAGCTCCCATGGGTGTAAGTCCATAACTTTTGGTCGTCAAGCGTGTTCAGGAGTTACTCTTTTAGGCTTAAAAAGTCAGAAAGTCGTTGGAGCTGTTGTTTCGTGCGACCATGCAGCATGGCGGTCAGGCCCCGCCCCCCAAGACTGGCATTTTTTTTAATCTTTTCTTTGTTTGGTAATATTTTAATTATTACTTTTTAATTAAATTTAGTTTTACCATTCAATTTTTTTTATATTTTTATTTTGGGCCTGCTTTTCATTTTATTCTATGGTATATTGCTTTAACCGTGATCATCCTACCTCAATCAAGAATACCTACTGCTACTACTGCATCGTATTTACTCACACATCCCAGGTGGGAATTGTACCACCCAAGCTGTTACCAACGAGCATATATATGCTCCCCTAAATGTGAGTACATTTCATTTCTACTTATTGAGTGTATTTTACATTTCAAACAGAAATCACTATTTGTCTTATTTCTATATTTTATATATCCCTTGTAAAATAAGGAGGAATACCCCTTTCCAGCTTTATCCATCAGTGGGGATCATACCGCTCTAAGCCTTCACTAAGAGCTGAATTGGAAACTCCTTGTGGATCTCTGATCCACATATAGTACACCACAAACAGACTCCACACTACACCACAGTTGCCTCTACACACACAATCCCATATAGCAATAGCTATAGTAGATTTGATGCTTGGAGTAAGATTTTGTAGTGCAGTGTTGCCACAATTACAGGAAAAAAAAATGCATCTATGTACAGCAACTGTTGATCTATCAAGTTTTGTTGAATTAAAAGATTTCTTTATTAACCTTTACTCAAAGCACATTGTATAAAACCCATCAGGAGCATGTGTGTTATGACTTACCTTTGCATCCTCAATCTGATGAAATGATAACGGGAATCAAAAAATGTATGTCTGTGCCAACATGGTCACATAACTTCTTCTACACTCTACACTGTATTGCATGCACCTATTTTGCTGTACCAGTGCACTTAGAAGATACAAAATCATTGGAGACTGTTTTAGCAATGCAAACTTTTGAGTAATGAGACAATTACAATGTGTATAAACATGGAAACAATCAGGATGAGAACATTAAAAAAACAAACATATTTTTACTAAACTCATATTTATTATTTATACCAATATGACATGGTTACACTTAGTAGATAATAGTTGTATTTTATAAATATTGTTGTTAGTTCCTTATAAATGTTTAAATTTATTTCATTTATAGATTAAACTCCTAGTTAATCCCTCTATGCAAATATAAAACAAGTTTCTATGCAATTTATTTATCTGTGGTCAACAATAAGATAATCAAAGAGCATGCATTATCTTTCAGCATTGATACATTAATATGACAATTTTGTGTTTGCAAATTACATTACACTTTGTTATTAAATGAATACTGTAGGCACAATAACTATTTCAACTTGTTGAAGTGGTTATGATACCTGCAGTCTGTGGGTGCCATGTTCTGTATCACTGCTAAAGGGTCAAATCCCTGTCTAGCAGATATGCTTGGCCACTGGCAACCTGCAATCTATCTTCCAATGATAAAATGGTGGAGACGGAGCAATACTTTCATTTTGTGCATTACCAATGCATGGTCTTGGATTGGGGGAGTGACTGGCTGAGAGCACTCAGTTGACACTCTCAGCCTTTAAGTGCCCACTATGCCTGATATGGCACAAAGTGAAGCATCCAGTGAGTGAAAAAATATTTTATCCCCTGCTGATTTTGAATATTTACCCACTGACAAAATGGTAATGGTAGGTGTATTTTAACAGTGAGATACAGAATAACAAAACAAAACATAATTTCCAGAAAAACGCATGTCAAAAAAGTTTAAACTGATTTACATTGCAATGAGTGAAATACATATATGATCCTTTATCAATCAGCAAGATTTCTGGCTCCCAGGTGTCTTTTATACAGGTAACAAGCTGAGATTAGGAGCACTCTATTAAAGGAAGTGCTCCTAATCTCAGCTCGTTACCTGTATAAAAGACACCTTTCCACAGAAGAAATCAATCAATAAGATTCAAAACACTCCATCATAGCCAAGACCAAAGAGCTGTCCAAGGATGTCAGGAACAAGATTGTTGACCTACACAAGGCTGAAATGGGCTACAAGACCACCGCCAAGCAGCTTGGTGAGAAGGTGACAACAGTTGGTGTGATTATTTGCAAAGGGAAGAAACACAAAATAACTGTCAGTCTCCCTCAGTCTTGTGCTCCATGCAAGATCTAATCTTGTGGTGTTTCAATAATCAAAGTGAAAGTGTTATGGTCAGATGAGACCAGCATCAACTGTTTGGAGGAGGAGGAATGCTGCCTATGACCCCAAGAACACCACAGTCAAACACGGAGGTATAAACATTATGCGTTGGGGGTGTTTTTCTGCTAAGAGGACAGGACAACTTCACTGCATCAAAGGGACAATGGATGGGGCCATGTACCGTCAAATCTTGCGTGAGAACCTCATTCCCTCAGCCAGGGCATTGAAATTGGGTAGTGGATGGGTATTCCAGCATGGCAATGACCCAAAACACACAGCCAAGGCAACAAAGGAGTGGCTCAAGAAGAAGCACATTAAGGCCCTGGAGTGCCATATTCAGTCTGCATACCTTAAGCCCATAGAAAATCTGTGAAGGGAGCTGAAGGTTCAAGTTGCCAAACATCAACCTTGAAACCTTAATGACTTGGAGACGATTTGCAAAGAGGAGTGGGACAAAAATCCCTCTTGAGATATGTGCAACCCTTGTTGCCAGCTACAAGAAACATCTGACTTCTGTGGTTGCCAACAAGGGTTTTGCCACCAACTACTAAGTTGAAGGAGTCAAATGCTTATTTTACTCATTGACAATTTATTTTTTTGACATGCTTTTTCAGGATTTTTTTTTTTTGTTTGTTGTTATTCTGTCTCTCATTGTTAAAATACACCTACCATTAAAATTATAGACTGATCATTTCTTTGTCAGTGGGCACATGTTAAAATTAACAGGGGATCAAATATTTTTTCCCCTCACTGTAGTTCTGCCTTCGTTATTTCAGCATTGGAGACCATGCTACTGGCTACCCAGAAACTATGCATCTCTGCTAAATGGTGGGCAAATTGTTTACTAAAGGTGTGGGAACAGGCACCAACAGACCCTTTAAAGCAGTTATGGTTCATGCTTTTAAATAGTATTAAAACATTGACTTTAACATATTATTGTATTTATTATTAGTGTGACTATAACATTAGTAGGAACCCTTTTTTAAAAATACTTTTTGAATAGATCCTTTCACTTCTTTATTTCTCAAGCTGTACAGGATAGGATTCAGCATTGGTATAACAATTGTATAAATAACAGCAATTTGCTGGTCTATATTTTCAGCATTGAGTGCTGAAGGCCTGAAGTAAGCAAAGATCAGTGTTCCATAAAATAATACCACAATTGTAATATGAGATGCACATGTAGAAAATGCCTTTTTTTTTCCTTCAGTGGAACGTATGCGTAATATGGCTATAAGGATAAACACATAAGATAGAAAAATAAAAATAATGCATATTAGTCCCAGTATTAGATCTGTAACTATTAGTACTAGCTGGTTTAGACTTGTGTCGGAACATGACAGTGCCATCACTTGTGGAACTTCACAAAAGAAGTGATTAATTTTGTTGGAGCCACAGAACAACATCCATGAAATGGTTGATGTATGAAATGTTGAACTAGATAAACCAAAAGACCACACTACAGCAGAAATACAAAAACAAGCATTTTTGCTCATGATATTTTTATATCTCAGGGGATTACAGATTGCCACATAACGGTCAAGGGACATAAAAGTCAATAGAAGAAATTCAGTGTCCATTGCAGCAGTGAATACAAACATTTGAATGAAACATCCATGGAAAGAAATGTATTTTTTTGGAACAAAGAAATAAGCCAACATATTGGGCACAGTAGATGTAGTGCAAAGAACATCCAAAAATGATAAATTACCAAGAAAAAAATACATGGGAGAGTTAAGTGCTGAATCTATATTTGTAATAATTATTATAACAATATTTCCAATTAAGGTTATAATGTACATAACAAGAAAAACAGTGTACAAAACCACATCCAGTTGTGGGGGATTGCAAAGTCCGAGGAGAAAAAAATCAGATATACTTGATCCATTGTTCATCTTTGAAATATTCATAATTAAAAAGAGAAGAAAAGAAAAATCATGCACTTTGAAAATATAAATACCAATTATAAAATTGTGCTTTGCTTTGTTATAAAATGATTTAAATTTGTTAAATAAAAGTTTGAAAATAATTATATATATAATAGGATTTGAATAAATATGCATACTCTGTTAAGGGAAACTCTAATTTATGTTTTCAGGACGCAATATAAACAAAACAAAAACAAAGCAATACAAGTAGCAATAAATTTTAATATTAATAACTAGATTTAGACATGTTTAAACTGCCTAGCGCTGTAAAGGCTGAAGTCAAGAGAATTAGCACAGGAAACATAGAAACATAGAATGTGACGGCAGATAAGAACTATTCGGCCCATCTAGTCTGCCCAATTTTTTATATACTTTCATTAGTTCCTGGCCTTATCTTATAGTTAGGATAGACTTATGCATATCCCACGCATGCGTAAACTCCTTTACTGTGTTAACCGCTACCACTTCAGCTGGAAGCCAATTCCATGCATCCACTACCCTCTCAGTAAAGTAATACTTCCGGATATTATTTTTAAACCTTTGCCTCTCTAATTTAAGACTATGTCCTCCTGTCGTGGTAGTTTTTCTTTTAAATATAGTCTCCTCCTTTAGTGTGTTGATTCCCTTTATGTATTTAAATGTTTCTATCATATCCCCCCGTCTCGGCTTTCCTCCAAGCTATACATGAGCTCCAAGCTATACAGGAGCATAAACAACAACCCACAGTCTGGTAATGGGGAGTCTATAAATTAGGAATAGAGAAACAAAAAAAAATATATAAGAGAAGGTTAATTAGGTTAAGACCAAATGGTGGTTGATTGCTTTAAAGGAAATTCAAAACCATTCAGGATCTATAACAACTGGGTGGTAGAGATACTTGAGAGAGAAAGAGATGATACATGTGAAAAATACCAAAAGATTTTGATTAATTTATAAAATAGTGCTAACATCTAGCCTTAGTTAAAAGAGTGAATATTGACTGATTGAGGAATCTAAGCCAGAGATTTTATGCAGGGGTATATTATTGAAGGGTAGTGATGTCCTGAACGGTTCACCGAACGGTTCACCGAACGGTTCACCCAACAGGAGGTGGGAGGGTCTGGGAGGGAGGGAGGGTCTGCTGCTGATTGGCTGGAATGAGTCTGCTGATTGTGAGGCACAGGGTCAAAGTTTACTCAATGATGAGTTCGTGGCGAACCGCTCGTGGCGAACCGTTCGCGAACCGTTCGGCGAACCGTTCGGGACATCACTATTGAAGGGGCTATTGGCTCATATCTTCCATAATGTTATGGTCAGAACATGTGGCTTGGAAAACATCATGACTGCTACAACTTTTCCCAAGCATACTAAACTTATATAAAAATAATTAAAAAGGATTGTAACAAAACATGAAGTTTGAGTCGCTAGCGTTGTAGTAGTGGAGATAGACAGAATTCAGTTTTTTCAAAGCATATTAATACTTAAGCCAAAATATCTCATACATGAAGTTATAAAAATATAGCTCAAGAGTACCTCATGCACATCAAGTGAATAATTTTAATCACACTGAAACGAATAATAATAATTTTGGTCATAATTGTAGGTATTAAAGTGGCAATCTTAATTGCTAAAATTATAGTATTCTCCAACTTGTTCTAGTGAAAAATCACTCTTGCACTCCTACAATGTCCTCACTTGTTGTAAATGGTCAGAGGGAATGAGAACATTACTCTATATTTTGTGAGCATGTCAAGGGAATACGTAGAATAGTCCTAATATTTTTCAGTATCTTTTTGCATAAACAGAAAAATTGTGCCAGAGTTGACATTAATGGTTAAAAGCATATGTCAGAATATGACTAGTCAACACAGTCTGTATTGTCTAAAGATGACCTAGGTGAGTGGATAATCCCACATACATACAGACGTGTTCTTAGTTATGTTCACATCATAAATGCTACACTTGTTTAGTAGTAACATGCTTTATAAATTTGACAGCTCGTGACAATTGTCTAGCCTGCTACCTAAACAAGAAAGGTGCAATTTACAACAATGTCACACCTCCCACCATTATGACATTTGTCTGCTGACTTGTATTTGCCGCTGTGGCATTTTTTTGTGTGTCAAAATGTTCATTACTTGAACCAAAAATAAAGAATTTACCAAAAAAAACAAAAAAGGCATGCGTCAGTGAATTCAAAATTATTTCCTAACAGAAATCCTATTCCCAATAAAAAAAAAAATAACACATTAGACTTACATCTAGTTCCAATTGTAATGGGAGTAAGCCACAACAAGTATATAGACTCCAAAATAAATTATGAAGAGTGTCATACACGGACACCCACCTGCCAAAAGCTTCAAAGTTAAATTTGAAAAGTTTTACATTTTTAGAGACTAAAGAGAGAAAAATTTGTAGACAAGTATTATACATTGCTTAACTCTAAAAAGGGCTAGATGAAGCCAGAGGTACATTGGAGAGATATTATTTAGTGGGGAAAGACACTATGTTTTAATCAGATGTTAACTCCAATGGAATACATAGTCAGAATAGTCACATTATTGTACAGTAAAGACAACTGTTTTCTTTTGTCAACCAAGCTACAGACAAATATAAAAAGTTGCATGGTTAGCTCCCATTATGGAGTTCTGTGCCTGAGTACTGACCTTTAAAAATAAA